CTATAAAATTAAGTATATGTTGCTAGACTTTAGCAAAAAGTAAAAAGAAAAAGAAAAAGATCAAAATTATAAATAATTCTATAAAATAATGATTAATATATCAATTATTATAATAACTATTTATCTATAATATATAATATTTATGTTATAAATTCAAAGTGTAATAAGTAAATTCAAACTAATATTCATTTTGAGAAAATTTATTTTTTTATTTTATTATTTCATAAAATGTCATTTTTACTATTTTGTGAATGCTCTTAAATTTTTAGTAATATAAATTATTTATAATATTAGTAATATAAATATATTTATAATATTATAAATTTAGTAATATAAATTATTTATAATATTATAAAAATTAATAGAAAATTATATATAAAAATTAAATTTCATTTATTTGCAACACGTAAAAATCAACGAGTACAAACAAAGTGCAACATAGCATATATATATATATACACTAAAGAGGGGTTGGGCCTCCCATTTTCTATATCTTTTTATTACAATTTTTTAATCACAATTAGTACATGTTATAAAAATAATTATATATACACACACAGAGAAAGTATCATGTAGTTATTCTTTATAAAGTAATAATTATAAATTTGATATTTTAACTTTTTAAAATTTTTATTTTGGATTTGAACGGAAAAGTTTTGCAATTAAGTGTTTTGGCCAATTAAAAATTTTCAATTAAATATTTATGGCCTGTATGTAAAGTGGGGATTACCACTAAGATGGTTGAAGCCCATAATAGTAAATATGGTGAGTAGACGGAAGATGAGTGAGCCATTTAGATTCATATTCAAAAATATATGTTTGGAAGTCTGAAATTACTAATTTGCCCTTTTTATTTCTATATCTTTCAAGCAACAAATAATATGCATTACTAAGATAATGCTTTTAATATTTTATCTTGGCCTAATACATAAATTTACCATCGAACTATCTCCAATTCTCCCGTGGCCCCTAAACTTTACGGGGGTTCTATCGTGACTCTGTACTAATAAATTGTTCAATATCTATATCCCTCGCCACGTAGGATATGAATAGTGTGCATCCAAACGCGTTTAGGAGAGTGAGGACTGATTTTCTCACTTAGGTGAGTAGCATGACCAATGGTCATTTTTGTCAAACAGCTTAATAAGCTTTGTTCTTTACCAATTTCTTTTTTCAAAATTGATCTCAGAAACCATATTCATCCCTTCCCTTTTTCAACTGGTTTTATTTCTCCAACTAGAATCGATTTGGAAAGGGAAACATTTGCAAAAAATTAAAAACTTGGGTTGAACAAATTTCTTGGCTTTTGATATATTTTAAGGAAGAAAACAATCATGAATCAAATCAGTATAAACAATAACATCAAGCTTAAACTTACGCTTTAAACTATAAAAAATTGAGCTTCACTAGCTCTTCGTTTCTTACTCAAAAAACTGATAAAAAAAATTTCATTAGGCTTACGATTATAATCCCTCATTTGATTAAATTGCTTGTGTTGTTAGTAGTCAATCCAACTCGAACGGAGCAGCAAATGAGAATCGCAAACGCATCAATTCATATTTATAGCTTTCATTGAATCGATTACACTCCAAGTTAAATCAAATTGCTTGACCTTACTAGTGAGAGAGACTCATCGCTTTGTAAGGTTCCAGGAGTGAGCAAATCCATCCTGAGAGGTGGCCTAATCGAAGAATGCAAGGATTTGGATGAAAGGGGACAAACATATTGCATTTCTCAATAATGCTATAGGCAATTGAAGGGGGAGATGGAGGTGGAGATTTGGAAGAAATCAGGTTTCAATTTTTGCGATATTGATATTTGATTAGAGAGTGAAATTTGTCAATTAGAAATCTTTCTTAAGGAGATAGAGCACTTTTTTCCTTCGTTGAGAGGAGAAGAAGATAGTGAAGATCAGAAAGATTTGATAAAGCGCTAAGAGAAAGGAGAAAGGGACGATGGTAGTAAACTCAAGCTCAGTTTCACAGAGACCAAATGACACTATGTTGTGTTCCTCTCTCTTCCTAAATGGATAAACATTCATCACATGTGTTATTGTTTGATCTAGGGCGGTGTAAAACTTGATCCGATCCGAAAAATCCGAACAACTCGACTAGACCGAAAATATAGGGTGAAAATGATTTTTTTGGTTTGGGTCGAGCGAGAAAATTTGAGAGATCTATATATCTTAGTCGGATCAGGTAAAATTTTATTTAACCCAAACTGATCCGTGCAAGATAACTTTACCTTTTTGTTTGTAAAAAATAAAATCCCCAAATACAATTTCACTCCTCTCTCGACATTTAGTAACTAAAAGGCAAAATCCCCTCCACCTTCCTCATTACAGCTTTAGTATATTAAAAGCCCATGATGCTCGCTATCACAGAAGAATTCTATATGAAGTTGATATTGATCTTCACTTAGGTGGCAATGGTCATTCTATTGAAGTTGGGTTAGTTTGCTGTTTAAACACATTGGAAAGTTTTGTCTGATTGATTGATATAGTTTTTTTTAGATCTCTATGTCTTTAGATTTATCTGGGTGTTTCATATAAGTTATATTGAGTTTAATTAGGTTTATTGAGGAGGATTCGATATGTATGTATATAGATTTCTTTATTGTTTCTTTTTCCTATCTGTTTTTACGTTAATATTTGTCATTATCATTTATTTTATAGAGTTTATTTCATTTTAAAATTGTTTTGTTTGTTTGATCGGATTAAATGAGGCTCGAATAACCGATCCGATTTTTATCGGGTTATTCGGATGGAGCCTAAACTATTAAACGGGTTAGGTCGGTGAAGTTAACCACCATCAGTTTGAGTTTTGGGTATTTTGGGTTGAATTGATTTTGACCAGACTCGACCATTGCTCACCACTAATTCAATCCACGTCAATGCGCGTGTAACACGCTAATTTTTTATATTTTCACAGAGCGCATAATTATTGAAGAATTTATTAGTAAAGTGTCGCAATGGAACCCGCAAAGTTCAGGGGTCAACAAGAAAATCAACGAAAGTTCGAGGGCAAATTTATGAAGGCCTTTCTCTTGGGATGGACTTGAGATGAAGGGTTGATTGATATGCATTACTAAGATAAAAATTTATATTATAAGGATTAAATAAAAATATTTGAACTAATAATCTTAATTAGTTTAATAAGTCCTAGAATAAAATTGACTTGACTAAAAATGTAATAAATAATTTTAAATAATTTTATAATTCAATATCAAATTCAAACTTATTGCAATTTTTTGAATTACATTGCATATAAACAATCCAATCTACATCACTTGGAACTTCTCAAAAAAAAAAAAAAAAAAAAAAAGTCAAAAAAAAAATAAAAAAAAAAAAAATCTACAAGCCGGAAAAAAAAAAAAAAAAAAAAAAAAATCTACAGCCGGGACGTGTACGTTTATTTTAAACTTCCCACTAATATTACATAGGCCGCAAACGTCCAAAAAGAGAGGACAAACTGTCAACGTAAAAAATATGAACAGACAAAGTACACCTGAGTAACATGGAATCGAAACCCACCAAGGGGTGGGCAAATGGTCGGTTTGATTCAAGCTGAACCGAACAAATGCCAAAAAATACAAACTGAAGTTTTTTTTATCTCAATCGAACCGAACCACTTGTTTGGCTGGTTTTGGTCTGTTTTTACCATGGAGGTTCAGCTTTAAGCCAATCGATGAATTTCTACGAATATCGACTCGAACCAAATAATAAATTTGGTCCAAACCAAATAAATCAATAAATCAAACATCTCTTTAATAGCTGACCAAACCATATGGGTCGATTTAATTAGATCGGTGGTTTTGACCTTGTATTGTGTCGATGATGGTGAGAACGGTATGACTGGCTCAGAGTCACGTGTGGGGAACTCTCTCTTCAAGCTTGAACATAATTATTACTGAAATATGAAATTACAGAGTCACGATGGATCCATGAAAGTTCAGAGATCACAAACATAATCATTGAAAGTGTAGAGTAAAATTTATGCATTACGTCCATGAATAAGGTACTCTCACTTTTAATTATCTATGCTAATTTCAAAACTACTATTTAACCAAGAAAAAATATGTATTATATAATGAGTTTTAGAAAGACCCACATCATTTTCATTTTTTTTTAAACCTTTAACTTTCTACTTATTTTAAAGTACCTTTTTGTAATAATTGTAATGAATTAAATTGCCTCTAAATACTTTCTCGTTTAAAATTGTTGCAAGATGATTAAAAAATAAATAAATCTCATAAATTATAACACAATATTTATTAATTTAGTTAGATTACAGTTTAAAAATTATAAAGATAATTATTGAATTTAATATAAATAAAAGTAAAAAAACAAAAAAACCTTATTAATTATTCTCAAAACGGCTTATATATATGGCAAAAGAACTAATTTATGATTTATATCTGTAAACAAAGGAGTACTTAGTAACTAAATACACAAAACTATTTACAATAACTTTTAAGTTTTTTTATTTAAAAAAATAAAAGAACTTTTCAAGTTATTTTACCTATTTATTTTTAAATATAGATAAAATAAAAAAACTCAATAAATTATATCCTTCCAAAAAATATATAATTTGAAATAAATAAAAAAATAAAAGTAGAACAAACATTATGCAAACTATAGAGTATGAAAATCATGTACAGATGGATATATTGCAAACTAAGAAGAATAAATTGACCACTTATGGACAGAATTAATGGCGTGCATTATGAGTTAGCAGCGACTGATTTTGACCTTTCAAAATAAATTGGATTTAAAAACGGATCGAACCATTAACGGTTTAAAATTACTTTAGTTCGACTCGGATCAATTTAAGCGATTTGGACAATTTTCGGCCGTTTATGAAATCCTACGTACATTTGTAATTCTAAAACAAGAAAATTGTAGAAATACCAAAACATATGAGACTTTTCTAAAGATTTCTTTAAATTTATTTTTAGCTTCTCAACGTCATAAGCCAAATGCCAAACCGGCCTTAGTTGCGGTTTTGTTTGTTTTGGTATGTATTTTAATATTTTTGGAACTGAACTGAATTTTTTTTAAATAGTATAAACTTTATATTAATTTTTTTTCCTACAAATTAAATTAGTTATTTTTTTAATTACTTATTCTTAATTTTGTCATTTGGTTGATGTCTGGTATCCCATCATTGGTAATTATTTTATTACAAATCTCTGTCTAGAACCAAACGGCCTTTAAATCTCTCAAGACCGCCATTCTCAGAAACAGACATATTGGTAAACAGAACATGGCGGCCACAGGAGCATGTTTTTTCCCCGCCGGATTTTCCCCGCCGGTGGTTCGTTCTTGCATGACGACATCATCGTCACCCGGTAAAGTGGAACCAAAACCGGTTCCAAATCAGAGTCGGGGATTTACAGTTTCTACAGAACAAATATCAACCGGAACGAAAACTGCGAAGGCGAAGACGACGAGTTTCACAAACAATGCAAGGACGGAGATGGAACGGTTAGAAGAAGAAAGAGAAAAAATAAAAGAGAAGAAAAATCCATTCATTTGGGAGTTAGCGGAAGCGGAAATAAAGAGTAGAAAGAGCTTGAAGGATTATTTTGAGGAGTCGAAGGATTTGATCAGATCGGACAGCGGTCCACCACGGTGGTTGTCTCCGTTGGAGTGTGGATCGCGCTTGGACAAGTCTCCTCTCCTCCTCTATTTACCCGGCAAGTTGTTTTATTCCTCTTTCGTCGTCTTCTTTTCTCTTGGTTTACGTTTATTTTATTTATTTATTATTTTGTTTTATCCCGTTAATTTTTAGTTGTATTCTTCTACTTTATTGATTGGAGTTTGGAATTAGATTTGGTACTCGAGAAAAAGTAGGTTATCAGTAACTGGAAAGTCTAATAACGAGGAGTCTTTTAGCTATTCTTTTTTTGGTTGACTAAAAAAAAAAAAAAATCAATTTTTATTAATCTCAACACAGTAGCTTTTATTGTCTTTTTTTTGCTTTGCTAGTCTACTAGATTATTTTTTTTTTCATTAACTAAATAAATTATTTAATTACGAGAAAAATACAGTACCATCTTTGTAGTTTGCAAAATACTACTAATTTATCCTTGTTTTTTTTAAAAGACAAGAAAACATACTTATAGTCTACTGTAAGGTCGTTCTGTTCAATTTTTACATTTTTTCTATTAACTACCTTATAAAATTACCCTTTTTATTTTTAACAAACAGTACAGACTAATTGTATTTTTCGAACTATAAAGACTATTGTAATTTTTTTGGTATAACATTTTAGTATCTCTCATTTAATCTCTATGTTTTCTTGTTCACTTAAACGAAAATGATGCAAAAATTGAAAAGAAGGATCTAATAGTGTAATGGAAGCAAAACATACGGAAAATTGATATATTTTAAGAAAGAGAGAGAGACTAATTGTATTTCGAAAACCACAAGGATTGTATTATATTTTTCCCTTTAATTATTGATATTTGATCATGATTACAGTTTTATGTCTCTTGTAGAGTGCTTCATCAATTTCTAAATACTTATCACATTTGTAGATTTCATAAATAATAAATTATTTTTTCCATTTTCACACTCAATAATTTAAATTTAAATAAATTGAATGATTTTCTTAAAAAATGTGAAATAATCAAATGTGAAAAGTATTTAGAAATAGAGGAATACATAGTATATATTAATGTTTGGAGTTTAGCTATGCTCTGTTAAACTATTTAATTTGCTGTCAAAAGTGTCTTTTTTTTTTTTCACATTAAATAGTGGATGAAATAGTCTATATGAAGAATTAAGTAGCTACATATTTTAAGGTATTTGATATTTTTTTGACGAAGTAAATAGTTTAATCGGATTAAAATAAAAAAATTATCGGTAAAATTTAAATTTAAGGACTTGTTGGTGTATTTTATCAAATAAAAGAGACAAAATTGTAATTATGACCAAATCTAGGGATCAAATAGTTATTTAATCTTTTTAAATAAATTGACTTCCGCCGACAACGACTTACTCTACTAAATTATTCTTTTCTCTGTCCCTTTTGTTTTATAATTTTCTCATTATATTTTTGTTCTGTGTAAGCCAAATGTATAACTGAAAAACAATAGTTCTAAAACCTAGCATAACAAAATCAGCACGATTATGTGCAGCATGCTAAGGATGAAATGCCGTAAATTTCTTCTTATTTTTTAATTATTAAATTATGGTTTAATTTATTTGATAATCATAGCTTTTTTTTTTTTTTGTTTTCAATAATTATTATCAAATTATATATTTCATTATTATTATTTCATAGTCTCAGAATATCCATATAATAATACTATAATTTCCCAAAACTTGCCTATGCCTGTTATATGAGTCCGTCCATATAACTAACTAATCAAAAAAAAAAATTTTTTTTTTGACTATTTACTGAGCATAAATGATAACAATTTAAAAAAAAAAACCCATCATGGATTGACTTAGGATATTTTGAACTCGTGTACCGAGTATAAGAAGTCTTGGATATATTCAATAATTGCTCAAAAAAAATATATGTTTTGCAAATTTGGCATTGAAAAAAAAAAATTACCAAGTAAAATAAGAAGTTGAAATAATCTTTATTGTTCTTATTATTATTATTATGTAATTTACAGTTGGGGAGCGGCATAGTCAGTGAGACAACCCTAATTATGCTTAGGCTTGGGCTCTTTTTATTATTATTATTTTTTTTTGAAAGTTTTATTGGCTGTACTCTTTTGTTTATTAAATACATTGTGGAGTTCATTTTATTTTTAAATGAAATTATGTATATTTCTCCTAAAAAATTATCTACAAATAAATTTTTATATTTTGATTAATTTTATATATTTCAAATATTTAATTTTTCTAATTTTTACTTAAAACTTATTAGTACTTTAGAGTTCATTTGTAAATTCTATCAATTTTGGTGATTTTGTTCAAATACTTTCAATATATAAAATTAAAGATATGGATTAATATGAATAGATTTTAATTGAATTGATAACAAATATGAAAATGAGTATTTATAGATGAATTCTATAAATTTTTATAGATAATCATTTATGTGTAACAAACTCTTGATATCTTGTTAGATGCAAATGTAATATTTAAAACCAGGAAACTATATTTATGGAAATTAAAATTTGGTTTTTATCTATCTTCATCAGAAAAATATTAGGAACTACAAAAAGAGGAATAAAACTTTTTTTTTCTTTTTTAAGAATAAATAAGCAAATTATTTATATCAAAGCAACACAAATATAAATTACAACAATTTTCTTGAAAATTATATTCAATTTAATTTAAAAAATAGAAAATTATGCAGTCTGCGTATCGCGCGGGTATATAACTAGTTCTTATAGTACATGAGAGACTTATAAGACTACACTATGTGGTGACTAATGTTTTTTCTTCTTTAAAAATAAAAAAGGTGACCAAGGTTTTAACACGTGAGAGCATAAATTTTCTATTTTTAACTCATAAATATTTTATTTTATTATAAATGGTTATGAATATTTTATAGTGTTAATAAGAAAATATGTACAGTATTATCATTAGTTTCCCTATTGTTAAGTCTTTATTATAAGTATTTTATTCAGTTTTTAGGTAATGATAAAATTTTATATAGTTATTTCAAAAATAAGATTGAAATAAGATTTTTATATATGCATATATTTTTATTTTCATTCTTCCTTTTAAGATAAACCAAATGTAAAGCACCTTTTTTCAAAGGAGAAATTCTTAGGTAGACTATGTCTTTCAGTAATAAAACCAAAAAAATGCCAAAAAAAAACATTCCACTCAAAGGGACACTGTGAACTTAATTGCATGACTGTAGATAGAAAATGAACAAATATTGTTTTGTGAGTTTGGTTGCAACTACAGACAAAAAAAAAAAAAAGTAGTTGTTTTGTGAGTTTGGTTAGGGGGGGGGGGGGGGGGGCACTACAGACCACTATAAAAAAAAAAAAAAAGTAAGAAATAGAGCTTGTTGGTATGTTTTGTTGGGGGGAGGGCGGGCCGGGAAGGTTGTAGGGTTAGGGGCACTTAGGGAAACATGCCTGCCAACAAATCATTATAATTTTCAATTCTATATTTCCGTTCTGGGGGGGGGGGGGGGGGCCGGGGAAGGGGTTTTGTTAGGGCTGTTTGGGGCACTTAGGGACATGCCTGCCAACAAATCATTATAATTTTCAATTCTATTTCGTTCCTCTTATTTCCGGCATGGTACTTAGATTCTCCCAAAAGAATTGTTTACTCTGCTGTAAGAAAACTAAGCATTGATCACCTTGGACCTTTTATTTTCCACTCCTTTAATTGTTTATTCGTGACTCTAATCTTGCAGGGATTGATGGGGTTGGGCTAGGCCTTGTTAGACAACATCAGAGTCTTGGAAAGTAAGTATCCTCTCATCGGCTTTGTGTACTATCACCATGAATAATAATATTGTTAATCTGATTTAAGATGAATCTTAAACCAATTTATTTACACGATAAAGGAGATCAATTCTCTACTGCTTAGACCCATGGTGACCTACCTTGTCTGATATTTATGCAAATGCTGCGTGATATGTGATTTCTTTTTTACTCATTAGGCTTTTCGACATATGGTGCTTGCATATTCCAGTCAAGGATAGAACACCATTTACAGGTTCTTTACAATGTTTCTTTTGCCCTATCAAAAGTACTTCCTTTTATTTATGCATATTATGTGTGATATAGTTGCGGTAATATTAAATTCACAGTAAACTGTAATATTGTGTTTAATTATGCAATTTGTCCCCCAAATCCTCTCAGACTTGTTGAAGCTGGTTGAACAAACAGTTAAATCGGAACATCAATCTTCACCTCACAGACCAATATATCTTGTTGGGGAATCTCTGGGAGCATGCCTCGCACTTGCTGTTGCAGCTCTTAACCCTGACATTGATCTTGTACTCATTTTGGCTAATCCAGGTAAGAAATTGCATACTTCTTAACCATTGACGGGACCTTCAGACATTAAGTTGTTGCTGTATTTGTGAACATCTGGATCTTTTAAGAAATTCAGCAATATAACACATGGATATGTATTGATCAGTATAGGAGATCATTAGCCTTTCACTGGTCAATTTGAGTATATAGAATGTATGAAAGCATATATCAAGCTAATCCAGGTGAGAAATTGCGTCCTTCTTAACCATCGATGGGACCGTCAGACATTAAGTTGTTGCTGTATTTGTGAACATCAGGATCTTTTAAGAAATTCAGCAATATAACACATGGATATGTATTGATCAGTATAGGAGATCATTAGCCTTTCACTGGTCAGCTTGAGTATATAGAATGTATGAAAGCATATATCAATGCCTAGAAAACTATAGGCTTATGGGAAGTTGCCACACGTGGACAGTTGATTCTTCACAAACCAAACCGCTACATGTATTGTTGTTTTGGATAAAAAGGAAATGCTTAGATTCATTAAGCATCAATATAAGCTCTTAGCATATGATATCAGTTGCACTTTATTTGCTTGATGTAATTTGAATTATTCTTTTTTTTAGGAACATCTTTTAAGAAGTCGCAGCTGGCACTTCTAATACCTTTATTGACAGTCATGCCTGATGAACTACATCTTTGCCTTCCTTATTTGCTGAGCTTGATGACAGGTTTTTCTTTATTGTCAATCAGATTTGCAATTTGTTTTAGCTTTGCTATTTCTTGAGATATAGATTTGAGTTCGTGAAGGTAACTGCCTATTAAATTTGGTTGCCTATAACCTGTTTCCTTTTGGGAAATGGATAACATTGACATGCGCCTAGAGCTTTGCATAGAGAATAACATTTCAAATTTCTTTAGGCGAGTTTACAAGGTGGAATTCGGTTAAGCTTCCGGACCATATTTAAGTTATATAGCATGATAGGCTTGGGGATAGTGCCAGCAGGTAAACATTTGTTGTGTCTACCACTGCTAGGAAATTAATTCTGTTAACATTTTTTTATTGTGATGGATCTTTTCATATCTTGCTTGAATTTCACCATTTAGTGAAGAATAGTGAGTTCAAACTTAATAACAAGTAAGAAATAAGTTACTTTTGGTTCTTTGCTGATTGAGATTGATTGGGAGATCAAACATGTGAATCAATGATTAGAGTGCCAAGTGCAAGCAGGTTGAACAATTTGATTTATAAAGAAATGACTTTGCATCTATAAAGTGCCCTCATGCCAAAGCACACAGGGTTTAAAGCATGAAAAGAGCCAAGAACTCTCTATTTTTATGCTGAAATATACTTGATGATATGGGGACCTCTGCATTGCTCAGATCTGTTTCTTTTTCTCAAAATCAAAGAAACGCTTTAATAACATTGATAACCCCTTCAGCTAAAAGTTTAAGCTTGATGGTATGGATCCAAAAATCCTTTTTGCATCTCTAACAACTTTAAGGTATCAGATAAGCTTTTACTTCGAAAATAGAATCTTGAGCTTGCTTCTGGACTTGAAGGCTGCTAGTCTTGTGGTTGTAATCAGAAGAGAATACATTCAGATAAACATGCATTGTCATCCCAATTGAAATTGCTAATTGGAAGTTGGAACTGATTCTAGGCTAGAATAAAACCTCATTTTCCAGTTTTAACAAGTGGAAATTTCAGCACCATAAAAGAACTGCATATAAGTGTTTGTATGATTTCTTTTTCCTCAATTGATACCAGCAGTTGATGGTGCATGCATTTAGGTGACCCTTTGAAGGCAGTGATGGATAATGTGATGAAGAGAGTTCCTCTACAACAGTTGTTTGGAGAGCTGTTTCAGGATGTCACCGCAGCATCATCTTACCTATCTGTAAGATTCCATTTTAGACATGGTTAAAATAATGGAGTCCAAGTATTAATTTTTGTATGTGAAAAAGGATGATGATGTATCTGTGAGACTAGAGAAAGCATTTTTCAGTTGACATGTCCAGAGCTCTGTCAGCAGGATTTATTGTTGTGTGTATTGTTGGATAAAAATAGCACTTGCTAATATATATGTATGCAGTTTGTCTAGCGTTTACTTTTTTCATATTGATGCTCACAAGATGCCATGTGTTCTTTTTTGAATAGAAGTTGATGGTTTATGTCTCAGGTCCTGAGTGATATGTTTCCAAAAGAAACAATTCTGTGGAAGCTAAATCTGCTTCAATCAGCTTCAGAATTTGCTAATTCACGCCTCCATGCTGTAAATGCTCAAACACTGATACTCTCCAGGTCCATCTCTTTGACATAATCCATCGTATATAATGAAAAGCTAAGAGCAACAAAAGCAAAAGATTGTTTACTTATTTAATTTTTTTAAAGAAAAGCAATTTAGCGTAACTCTTTTATATATAACTTTGTTAAAAAGCAGATCTAGAAATACTGGCAGTTTGCAATGGTATGTACTGAATCTCTCTCTCCTTAATGCTAACTAGACAGTTCCATATATGGATCCTAAAGCATAATAAACAGTTAATTGGAATCCCTATCCGTGCACTTTTTACATGAATTCCAATTAATCCAGAAGTGCAAACATCTTATTCCAGGATTATATCTTGAATTTCTTAAAATATTTTTAGTCATCACATGCCAATTTCTTACTAAATACACTTGCCCTGTGTGCTTCATGATAGTAGTGGCTTGGCTGCTTTAAGTCTGATTCTGTCCAAAATGATCTGTCTGATCTTGTGCTCTGTTTTCATTTCAGTGGATATGACAAGTTACTACCAAGTAAAGAGGAAGGTGAAAGACTTCATCAAGTGCTGCCGAAATGTGAGATACGTTGGTTTGATGATAGTGGACATTTTCTCTTCTTGGTAGGATAAACTAACTCTGCCTTCCTTTCTGATGCAGTCAATGAAAACCAAACAAAAGGATTATTTTAACTTATCTCTTAATTATGAAATTTAGATTTTTATTGCAAATTTTTCTCTAAAGAAATATTTTGTTTTTATTACATTTCCTACTTAAAATTGGGTTAGAATTTTCTTCCAAGTTTGAGATTCTTCCATTAAGGGCTGTCAATAATTTATTTGAAAGTCTTGGTTGTTACAGTTTCTTCTTTCCCCAACTTTTCGTGCATTCAAATGTGGAAGCATTGATGGAGCAGCACCATATCGTTTGCACCCCAAAACAACATTTAATTTTTATCTTCTTTCCTTTCATTCAAATTCAGTAACAGCACTAGATACTTTTTACACCCTCAAACAACTGTTTTTTTTGTTTACTTGCTCAAATCATCCATAATTCTAGTCCTTAATCCTGAACGTTTTATTCTTTAAATCTGAATCTTAAATCTTTCAAATAAATTTCTCATTGAGTATGTTTCTAAATAGAAAATTTTCAAAATGATAATTATATTAAGAGAATCCTTAAATTTGTTTTTGCTTGATTGCAAACTTTCTCGAGTGTTTTTTAGTTATTCTTTGTTGCATGTAATAGTTTTACACATGTGGCAGGAAGATGAATTTGATATAGGGACTGTTATCAAGGGTACTAATTTCTATCGTCGAGGAGCATACCATGACTACATTTCAGATTTCATACGACCATCCCCTGCTGAATTCAAAAAAATATATGAATCAAACAGGTACACTGTTTTGCCATCGGGGAGATACAAATTGCACTTTCTAATGGGATAACAACAATGTTTACTTAGCCACTGTAGCAGTTGCATGGGGTAGGTGTATATGGAAATAAGTGCTTGTTTCAATATCCTCTCAAGCATTATAGTTGGAAGATCCTCTTTCCAAGTTGTTTGCAGCAATCTTTAGTAGACAAAGGCTTTGAGCCAACATGATAGTGATTTTAGCCGTCATTATTATAGGAGTCCTTTATGATTAATTGAGTTGTTATTTGAATAGTATTCTTTTCCAATTATGATGTTTTAGGTGGATATGGGATGTTGTGAGCCCTGTGATGCTCTCAACATCTGAAGATGGAGAGATAGTCCGGGGTTTTGGAGGAATTCCTTCAGAAGGTCCAGTGTTGTTCATTGGCTATCACATGTTACTGGGATTTGAATTATCTCCAATGATTTCCCAACTTGTTTATGAAAGAAATATTCTTTTGAGAGGGATAGCACATCCATCGATGTTTACGAGATTGAAAGAAGGACGGTTACCTCCAATTTCACAATTTGACATATTCAGACTTATGGGTGCAGTTCCTGTTTCAGGAAACCTTCTCTATAAACTTTTGTCTTCAAAGGCTCATGTATTGTTGTACCCAGGAGGTGTTCGCGAGGCCTGTCATCGTAAGGTAATGCTGTTAATTTTGTCTGTTATCCTGAAAAGTTATTGTTTCCCATTTACAAGAAGCTCAGTATTCATATTCTGAATTTCGAATCATCATTTTTTAGATCACTGGTCTATGTAACAATTAGATATTATCTGTACCAGAATGAGATATCAGTCCCTAAATACCTTGTTGGCATTGTAACTTGTAAGGAAAATTGCTTATAATAGCAGTAAAGTAATGAAATGGAAGGTGGTCTATTTCATGTCCATGATGGGGAACATACTTGGAATGAGTAAATGCTATTGCATGCTTGAAAACCTCCGAGTTGCTCGCGTTCCAAATCACCCGGCAGGCAGTAATAAACCACACAGCATGTGTAATCGATTTTCCTATGGTTTATTTTTCCAAGTGATGAACCTTATTTTTAACATTTTCCTCTTCTTTGATTCTGACATTTTCAAGGAAATTTGCCTTCTATGATATATGGCTTCTGACCAAGAGTCAACTCTTCATGCCCCTCAGGGTGAGGAATACAAATTATTCTGGCCGGAACAGTCTGAATTTGTCAGGATGGCAGCTCGGTTTGGAGCCAAAATTGTGCCATTTGGTGTTGTTGGAGAAGATGATTTTTTTGAAGTAAGTCCAGAGTATTTACTTCATTTGCCCTCCCTTTCAATCAGTTTGTTCTGTGAGGCACACTGCTGCTCTTTTTTGTCCTTTCTCTTTTTTTCTTTTCTTTTCTTTTCTTTTCTTTCTTTTTTTTTTTTTTTAATCTTGTTTTGTGAATATGTATTGCTGAATGACTCTTCATACATTCTCGAATATAAACATGCATTTCACCTTTTCTTGAACTAGGCCTGAGCTTTTCTCTGATGTGGAATGACTTGTAGTTAGCACATCAAGAAGTGTAAATAGTAGTCTCTTGAGCTTGACTCATCATCTCTAATATGCATCTATCTACCTTGATCCGCAGCATATGTGTATTCCTCATTTTGGATTATTTCTGTTCCCAGTTTGAAGATGATCTCTAGTTACATGAATAATTAATCGGGTTTTATCATCTCAGGTATTTTTTGACTATGATGACCAAATGAAGGTTCCTTTGCTTAGGGATTACATAAAAGACATAGCAGAGCAGGCTAAGAGTGTGAGGTATGCTCGCTTCGTCCCATGTTGGTTTCCAGTAAATCATCTAACTTGTATTTATCCTAGATTTCCAATTTTATTTTCTTTTCTTTGCTTGGTCTCTTCTGATAATAGGACTGAAGTACATGGTGAAGCAGGAAACCAAGATATGCACCTTCCAGGAGTTCTACCAAAATTTCCAGGAAGATTCTATTATTACTTTGGGAAACCAATTGAAACAGAAGGTATGGAGAAAATACACTTATATATGAAGATCTACTAAGTGGAAACATAAGCAACAATAATCTATTTGGCCAAAACTTGTAGCTTGAATCCGCGTCGAAGTTAATTTAGCCCATTCTTTTATTTTGCCAATTATATTTCAACTACAGATTGTTTGTGTCGGTTACAGTTATTCCTTGTGTTCGTATTATTTGAACATTTGCCTGTGTTATGTGGACATGGTAGCACTAGCATGCTGACATTCTGCTGACGTTTTGGACTTTTTTAGACAATAGGCATAACAAATCTTCTGAAGGAATTATTAATTATGTTATGAAGGAAGGAGAGAAGAATTAAAAGATAAAAAGAAAGCTCAAGAATTGTACTTACAAGTGAAGACTGAAGTGGAGGAATGCCTTGCTTTTTTGAAGGAGAGAAGAAAAAGTGATCCTTACCGGAATATAGTTGCTCGTATGGTTTACCAGGCCAATCATGGATACTCTTCTGAGATTCCAACGTTTGAGCTTTGATTGTTCTGCACAATGAAGATTTTGATTATTTTCTGTAGTTCTCAAATAATTAAGCTTCGAAGAAGAAAAAGAGAAGTTCGGTTCACTTCAAGGCAGCACAGAGCAGAAAAAAAAAATCTGATTCTCGAGTAGATGGTAGTTCTAAAATAAATGCCGTTTGGGGCTTCAGCTGTGTTACTGTATATGGTGATTTTACATTTGGCTAGTTCCGGCAAAGTTGATCATTAGGAATATGTAATATTTATATTTCTGTAAATGTAACATTTTATTATGTATCAATCAATATCAAATTGCCTGTACAATGTGGCTTGATTTATTCACGCCACTACAAAATTCATTTGATTACTTTGTCCTGTAATTTGTATTTGCCCCATCAGTGTCTTTGATTGCCAAAGGAATGATTGTAGCTAAGTACTGTAGAGATTCCTTAGCAGAGAATCTCAGGTGGGTTGAGTTGTAGAACGTGTTCCTTTATAATAAAAGATATATTTTTCAATTATTTTCTATTTTTAAAAAATAATATTTTTATAATTAAAATTATAGCATCCGTAAATAATTTTTTCAGCAATATATTTTCATAAGAAAAAATAAAATATTTAAATAAAATAAAAATTTATATTATGCTTTATTAAATAAATAATTTTATTATTATAAATATATTATTTTCTACATATTAAAAAAATAATATTTTATAAATTAAAATTATAGCATCCGTAAATAAATGTATGTATAGCAATATATCTTCATAAGAAAAAATAAAATATTTAATAAAATACTAAGAACATTTTATATTATGCTTTATTAAATAAATAGATTTTATTATATAAATGCACTATATCCTTTATTTTTAAAAATTCAAAATATATAGTAAATTGATATTATTATTGATAACACTATTAATAATGAAAAATTTAAAAATATTTATACATATATACACATTTTAAATATTTTATATCATAAAAATTATCGCAATGAGAGAGTGATGTGAGAGTAACTTAAAAAATTAATTTTGTTTATTGAGTCGAGAGATGTTTGGTGGCATTAATTTGTTAGTTGAGTTTTCAAATTCCTTAATGAAGCCGTGAAGCATCCTTGACTGAGGGCATACCGGATTTACAACCATCAAAGACCCCCGCCCATCTGAAACCTCCCATCCAAACCTGTAGATGATGGCCTATAAGGGGCTTCATCTGATTGAGCCGTACAGAAGATAACCGCGGCTCCGGAACATGGGCTTCAGTCAAAGGGTGGATAAAAATTTAAAAATTTTTACATAAAAAATTTTAAATTATTTTATATTATAAAAATTACGAATAATATTTGTGAAGTTAAATTAAAATATAATTTTTTTATTGTGAAGTTAAATTAAAATATAATTTTTTTGTTGTTATCAAATGAATTTTTATTTTTTTTGCTTTCTCTTTTTTTTTTTTTTCAATTTTTAAGAAAACTGTATTTTTAGAAAACATAAAATAAAAAATAGAAAACTGTTTCCGTACCTGCATTTGTTTATAACGGGTGGAATTGAATCTTTTAATTATAAAATATATATATATTTTTTTATGCAAATTAAATTAGTTATTATTAATTTTGTCATTTGGTCGACATCAGTTGGTTATCGTCTCATTATTGATTCAATTACTTGGCCAAGGAGGCCCCCCTGTCTTGATGTTGCTGGCAAAAGGCTGAGGCCATGGGACCAAAAAGGTCCACCTTCTCTCCGCCCCTAGATTACTTATTACCTAATCTCCGTCTACAACTGAACAGCTTTAAATCTCTCAAAACCGCCATTGAGACAGAGAGATATTCGTAAACCGAACATGATGGCCGCCGGAACGTGTTTTTTTGCAGTTGGATTTTGGCCCGCGGTGGTTCGTTCTTGCATAACGCCATCATCGTCATCCGGTAAAGTGAAATCGAATTCTGCTCCATATCAGACTCGGCGATTTGCAGTTGCGCAAATATCAACCGGAACAGTAAGTGCAACGGCGAAGACGACGAGTTTCGCAGAGAATGGAAGGATGGAGATGGAACGGTTAGAAGAAGAAAGAGCGAAAATAAAAGAGAAGAAAAGTCCATTAATTTGGGAGTTAGCCGAAGCAGAAATGAAGAGTAGAAAGAGCTTGAAGGATTATTTTGAAGAGTCGAAGGATTTGATCAGATCGGATGGCAGTCCACCACGTTGGTTGTCTCCGTTGGAGTGTGGATCGCGCTTGGATAAGTCTCCTCTCCTCCTCTATTTACCCGGCAAGTCGTTATTCCTCTGTGTTCTTCTGCCTTTTCTCTTTTCTTTCTTTCTTACCGTTAATTATTAGCAAGTCGTTTTATTCCTCTTTGTGTTCTTCTGTTCTGCCTTTCTCTTTCCTTTGTTCCCATTAATTATTAGTATAATCTATGCTATTGACTGAAATTTTGAATTAGGTTTGACACAGGAGACAGTTATGTATAAAAATAACAGTTGGGTCCCTAAATTATACTATAATTAATAATTTTATCCTTATATTTTCAAGAGATTATTATAATTTAAGTAACTTTTATTATAATTTAAGTTGGAAATAACAGTAACTGGAAAAAGAGAGATTCTTAGATAAATAATTTGTACCAAACAAACTCTTCATGTTTGGTTAGATGCTAGTAATGTAACATTTAAAACCAAGAAATTATATTCTATGGAAATTAAAAATTAATTTTAACTTTTTATATATTTTCTTAATTAGAAATTAAATAAATTAGAATAATATTGGAACCACAAAAAGAAGACCCCAACGTGATGCTTTTCTCTTTTCTTTTGGTTTTTTCTCGTTTTTAGATTAAAATTCATGTATTTATTTGATATACTTATTATTGCATGTGCTTTTCTAAAAACAGTACACAGAATCTAATTCCTACTATAGGATTTCTTTTTTCCTTTTCTTTTCTCCCTGAAGAAATTCAACTTTTTTATCCATACTGTATGGTTTGAATATTTTAAATTTTTATTGAAATTACAATTTTTTTTATTCATTAGAAGGTAAAACGAGCTAAAATAACATTATAGTCCTCATTTAGTCTCACTAAATTAATGTCAATTATTGTGATTAAAAGACTTACTTGATACCTCTCACTTTTCACATTCTTGTAGAAAATATACAAAACGAACGAACCATACTTATTAGTATAAGCACACACTTGTATTAGTGATATGGTTTTGATTTAACAAAAAAAAAAAAAAAAAATATTAGTATAAGCAACAACTTGTATTAGTGATAATGGTTTTTGATTGTTAACAAAAAAAAAAAAAAAAAAAAAAGAAACTAACTAAAGTTGTTAACGAGTGCATTACACTTGAATTTCTATTTTTTTTTTAACTCGTAAATATTTTATTTTATTATAGATAGATATGAATACTATTATAGTGTTACACGTATTTTCTTTTTATTATTATAAAAAAAAATATGTAGTATTATCTTGTTAAGTTTTTGATTATCAATATTTTATTAAGCTTCTAGGTAATGATTAAATTTTATTGAGTTATTTCAAAATAAACTTGAAATTAGATTTTATGTAAGCATATACATTTAAAATTCAATATATAAATTCAATTGATATAGTATAGTATAATAATATATATAGTATATATATATATATAGAAGTATTATAAGAATATAGTTTTTTTTTTTCAAATCTCCTTGCCAGCAAAAACTTATGCCTTAATACTTGAACCTTTTATTTTTGACATTATTCAACTTGTTGTTGTTGATGACTTAATTTTGAGGGATTGATGGGGTTGGGCTGGGCCTAAATTAGACAACAATCATAGTCTTGGAAATATATTTTTTTTTTCATCTCCTTGCAGAAAATTATGCCTTAATCACCTTGAACCTTTTATTTTTGACTTATTCAATTGTTTGTTGATGACTCTAATTTTGCAGGGATTGATGGGGTTGGGCTGGGCCTAATTAGACAACATCATAGTCTTGGAAAGTAAATACCCTCTCATCTGCTTTGTGTACTATCACCATGAATGATAAAAATATTAATCTGATTTAAGATGAATCTTAAACCAATTTATTTACATAATAAAGGAGAGTTGTCTAATAATTAGAATCATGGTGAAATACCTCGTCTAATATGAATGCTAATGCTTCATTAATATGTGATTTTATTTTTCCTTATCAGGCTTTTCGACATATGGTGCTTGCATATTCCAGTCAAGGATAGAACACCGTTTACAGGTCCTTTACGACATTTCTTTTACCTTGTCAAAAATATCCCCTTTCTTTAAATTCACAGTAAACCATAATCTTGTGTTTAATTTGCCCCCAAATTCCTCTCAGACTTAGTGAAGCTGGTTGAACGGACAGTTAAATCAGAACATCAACGTTCACCTGACAGACCAATATATCTTGTTGGGGAATCTCTGGGAGCATGCCTCGCACTTGCTGTTGCAGCTCTTAACCCTGACATCGATCTTGTGCTTATTTTGGCTAATCCAGGTGACAAATTGCGTCCTTCTTAACCATTGGTGAGACCTTTAGATATTTTAAGAAATTCAGCAATATAAGCACATGTCATGTATTGATTAGTGAAGCGACCACATATTGCACAAAGGGGAAATGCTTAGATTCATTCAGCATCAACATAAACACTTAGCTTGTGTTTATAAATTACACTTTATTTGCTTGATTTAGTTATTATTTGTCAGGAACATCTTTTAAGAAGTCACAGCTGGCACCTCTTGTACCTTTATTAGCAGTCATACCTGATGAACTAGAGCTTCGCCTTCCTTATGTGCTGAGCTTGATGACAGGTTTTTAATTTATTGTCAATCAGAGTTGCAGTTTGTTTTGGTGTTGCTATTTCTTGAGATACAGTTGATTTTGCATGGAGGTAAGTGCATATTAAATTTGGTTGGGATCATGTTTGTATTGCCATAATCTGTTTCCTTTTGGCAAATGGATAACATTAACATGCACCTACAGATTTGCATAGAGAATAACATTTCCAATTTCTTTAGGTGAGGTTACAAAGTGAAATTTAGTTAAGCCACTGGCCACATTTTAACTTATATTGCATGATAGCTTGGGGAGGTTGCCAGCAGGAAACATTTGTTGTGTCTACCACTACTAGGAAATGAATTCTGTTAACTTTCTTGATTGTGATCGATCTTTTTATATCTTACTTGAATATCATCATTTAGTGAACACTAGCAAGTTCAAGCTTAATAAAAGTTAAGAAATAAGTTACTTTTGGTCTTTTGCTGTTTGAGATTGGGAGGCCAAACATATGAATCAATGATTAGAGAGGCCTAAGGTTGAATAATTTGATTTCTGCAACAAAAGATTTGTATTTACATCTCTATCTTGCCCCTCATGCAAAAGCTTACTGGGGTTAAAGCATCAAAAAAGCCAGCTACTCATTTTTTATGCTGAAATTTACTTGATTATATGGGACTTCTGGGTTGCCGACAATCTTTCTTTTTCTCAAAATCAAAGAAATACTAATAATAATTGAAAAACCTACATACTTGAGCTAAAAGTTTAAGCTTGATAGTTTGGATCCAAAAAATGGTTTTCCATCTCTTACAAACTATAAGGCGTCAGATAAAACTTTTGCTTTTAAATAGAATCTTGAGCATGCTTCTGGACTTTCAACTGCTAGCCTTGGGGTTGTAAACAAAAGAGCATAGATTTGGATAAACATCCATAAATTGGAATTGCTACTTAGCTGGAACTGATTCTAGGCTAGAATAAACCTCATCTCTCTCCTCATCCTCATTTTCCAGTTTTAATGAAGTGGAAATTTCAGCACCATAAAAGAATTGCATTTAAGTGTATATGTGATTTCTTTCTCCTCAAGTGATGATGGTGCATGCATTTAGGTGACCCTTTGAAGGCAGTGACAGATAACGTGATGAAGAGAGTTCCCCTACAACAGTTACTTGGAGAGCTGTTTCAGGATTTCACCACAGCATCATCTTACCTATCTGTAAGATTTCTCTTTAGAAAATGTTTAAAATATCTGAGTCCAAGTATTAATTTCGTATGTGAAAAATGATGATGAAGTATCTGTAAGACTAGAGAAAACATTTTCCAGTTGACGTGTCGAGAGCTTTGTCATCAGGATTTATTCTTTTGTGTCTTATTTGTTAGATAAAAATAGCAATTGCTAGATATCTGTAGGTAGATCATGTTTATCATGTTATCTTTAGACTCTAGTGGTTGTTACTCTTTTCATATTGACGCTGACAAAATATCATGTGGTCTCTTTTGAATAGAAGTTGATGGTTTATGTCTCAGGTCTTGAGTGATATGTTTCCGAGAGAAACAATTCTTTGGAAGCTAAAGCAGCTTAAATCAGCTTCAGAATTTGCCAATTCACGCCTCCATGCTGTATATGCTCAAACGCTAATACTCTCCAGGTCCATCTCCCTGGCATAATCCTCATATATAACGAATAGCTAAGAGCAAGCACAAGATTATTTGCTTATTTATTTTTTTGAAAGACAAGCAATTTAGAATAGCTCTTTTATACATAACTTTTAAAAGGCAGATCCACAAATACTAGCCAGTTTCTGATATGACATAACAAATTCATCCCTCCTTAATGCTAACCAGATAGTTGCGTTTATGGGCCCTAAAACATATGCCATAAACAGTAAAATGCCATCCCTATCTGTGCACTTTTTGCGTGAATTCCAATTAATAGAAAAATGCAAACATCTTCTTCCAGGATTACATCTTGGATTTCTCAAAATATTTTTTTGTCATTGCATGCCAAATTGTTCACTAATATACTGTTGCCCCTGCGTGCTTCATGATACTAGTAGTAGCTTTGCTGCTTTAAGTCAGAGTCCAGAATGATCTGCCTGATCTCATGCTCTGTATTTTTCAGTGGAAATGACAAGTTGCTACCAAGTCAAGGGGAAGGTGAAAGACTTCACCATCTGCTGCCGAAATGTGAGTTACGTGGGTTTTATGGTAGTGGTCATTTCCTCTTCTTGGTAAGATAAACAAACTCTCCCTTTCCTTCTGATGCAGTCAATGAAAACCAAACAGAAGTGTTATTTTTTAGGAATTTTTTGTTTCTGTTAGAAGATTTAGAAAGTCGTTTTTTCTTCCTATTTTAGAATTGGGTTGAAAAATTTTCTTCCTAGTTTGAGATACTTAATTTTAGTAGATAACAAGTCTTCCACTAATGGTTGTCAATATTTTATTCGAAAGTCTTGGTGGTTACAGTGTCTCCTTTCCTCTTCTTTTCTTTCATTCAAATATAGTAGCACTGATAGGACCAGCAGTTGTTCACATCCTAAAAAAAAGAAATTAATTTTCCTCTTCTTGCACTTGATTCTGCTACACCTTCAAACAACCTTTGTTTTTTTTACTTGCTTAAATCATCCATAATTCTGGTCCTTAACCTTTTTGTTCTTTAAATCTGAATCTAAATCATTCAGTTAAATTTTCTAAAGAATAGTATATTTTCTAAATAGAAAATATACAAGATGATAACTAAATAATTAAGAGAATCCTTAAATTTATATTTTCCTGATTGCAACGCTTCCTCTTCCTCTTCCATCTCTATCAAAGGACACATATCAAAAAAAAAAAAAAAAAAAAAAAACAAAAATTCAACCCATTCCCGAGAGGCCTGACTTGGACAACAAACCTTCGATGCACAACACACTTTGTGTGTTAATGGTTGTTTCGTAACTTTTGCCTCCATTTATAATTCACCCTCCATCAATTCCCTGAAGCGCTTGGCCTCACCTCTTTTTGTACTCTAACCTTATACACATCTGGAACATCCCTATTGTAATATTCTACAGATTCCACGGACTTCGGCACATTATATATACAACTGATGTTCCTGCTAAACTCGCCCATTACGATTACTATTCCTTCTAATAGAAACATCATACAAGATGAATAACGGCACTCACTATGAAATATATTGAGAAGGGAGAGATTCCTTAAAATCTTCTTCCAAATACGTTACTATTCCCTATGGATTGCATTTACTTAACGCACTCTCCTCTATAAGAACCCTCCTACTCCACTCTACCTTAATCATATAGGGCAATGTTGTACAACTACAGACCCCATTATCCCAAACTACTAAAAACCACAACAAAAACAAACAAAATACAAAACTCTTGAGTTGTTTTTTCTCACGAACTCTGAAATATAACGTGGATCTCCATACCCTTAACGGACCAAAGCCTTGTAGCTCAGAACGTGTCTATCTGGGCTAGGCCGTACAAGATGATATTTGACCTTACTGACGGAAGACTTTTGACTTCATTTTACGGATCTATCACAACGTGCGTAAACCCACAGAACGGTCAGGTCGTATGGTGTTTACACTCCCCGCCACGTTTCGATTCGTGACAAGGGCATTACGCGACTGGGAACTTTACGACGGACCGTGTCCACGACGGACCTTGAGCGTATGCAGACGCATAAACGCACCACTCAACCTCATTGCCTAGCCCCAGATTTCAAAAGAACTTCCATAAATGAATATTCTTAACGTTCACAGCGGTAGGTCAAAAAATTCCGGGTCTTTTGCTACTCTATCACCCTTGTACTGAGCAACACGTTTTGCCTAAGTGGAACACAATCTACAATTGTAAAATTAGATGAGGCGCTACCTGACTCCTCAACACAGAAACACACCGAGACATTAAAAGTTTAACCTTTTCAGGAGCTCGCTTTGCTTGCCAATCATCTAGGTCTACTGCTGATGGTCACACTTCGTGAGAAGGTTTAAACAAGACTTACCCGGTCACCATCGAAAACATTACGGGTATGTCGCCTTGTTTGCTCAAAATTAACTTTAGACGCGAAAGTCGTCCAACGTGATACTTAGGAGACTTGATTGGAACATTGTATAGGTGTTTCAGACCCCTATATGTTATTTTGCCATGTGGTTGCAATCTCCAGTGCAATTGTCATTTCTTGTTCGCGGCAGCAGCAATCTTTAATACCAAAAGCCTTGGAACACAGCATTTAAGGCATTGAATTATTCATTTAGTTCCGCAGTGAAACCTCTCCGATACGAGTTATCAGACACGTGCATACCGCCTTTGTGTTATTGCTCATCCCCAATATTGTTTACTAATCAAACGTGAGGATTCAAATCTGTGTGCTGTATTACTATCTGGAAACTTAATTAAGGATTATGGTGCGTAATTTGATCACATAGTAATTATCGTTTTAATGTTTCCAACTTGATGATGTTTTTACCGTGTGTTGCGGAGTTGCAACGATGTTGTACACAGACGGACCTTCGCGTGTAACTGTTCTCACTTGGGTCTCATCCGTCTAAGCTATTACACAAATGTTTATCAAATAAAAACCTATCTACTAAAGATTACAGAATCTAAATAGACAGACAAAAATGCAAATATAAGCACAAGAAAATTTTTCAGATTAGAAAATCATTGTGAAAACAGAACTGTTTTTCAAAAGAAATTGTTTATAAAATTTCTTTTCTCTCTTAAAGATAAAACGTGAAGTATTAAAATGAAAAGAAACAAGGGCGTAGAAAATGATGTGCTTGTTTCAATTTCCTCTCAAGCATTATAGTTGAGAGATCTTGTTTCCAGGTCTTGTGCAACAATCTTTAATACCAAATGGTTAGAGTGAACCTGATAGTGATTTTAGCCATCATTATTATAGGAGTTGTTTATGATTAATTAAGTTGTTTTTTAATAATATTTTTTTCCAATTATGATGTTTTAGGTGGATTGAAGATGTTGTAAGCCCTGTAATGTTCTCTACATTTGAAGATGGAAAGATAGTTCCGGGTCTTGCAGGAATTCCTTCAGAAGGTCCAGTCTTGTTCATTGGCTATCACATGTTAATGGGAATTGATTTATATCCAATGTTGGCCCAATTTCTTATAGAAAGAAATATTCTTTTGAGAGGAATAGCACATCCATCGAATTTTATGAGACTGAGAGAAGGACCATTGCCTCCAATTTCACAATTTGACAGAGTCAGACATCTGGGTGCAGTTCCTGTTTCAGGAAACCTTCTCTATAAACTTCTGTCTTCAAAGGCTCATGTACTGTTGTACCCAGGTGGTGTGCGTGAGACCTGTCATCGGAAGGTAATGCTGTTAGTTTTGCCTGTTATCTGAATTTCGAATCATCATTCTTCGGATTACTGGTCTATGTTAGAATGAAATTTGCCTTCTGTGATGTGGTTTTTGACCAACAGTCAACTTTTCATGCCTCTCAGGGTGAGGAATACAAATTATTCTGGCCAGAACAGTCTGAGTTTGTCAGGATGGCAGCTCGGTTTGGAGCTAAGATTGTGCCATTTGGCGTTGTTGGAGAAGATGATTTTTTTGAAGTGAGTCCAGAATATTTACTTCATATGCTCTCGCCTTCTATCAATTTGTTCTGTGAGAAACACTGCTCACTTTTTTGGATTTTCTTTTCTTTTAATGACTCTTCCTACATTCTTAAAATATAGACATCCACTTCACCTTTTCTTGAACTAGGCTTGAGCTTTTTATGATGTGAATAGCTTATGATTGTCACATCGAGAAGCTTAAATGGCCTAACCATCAATTTTACCACGAACTTCGAACTTCTTGAGTTGTTGCAATTTTACTCTAAATCAACTTTTGTGCTTTGGACACCTTGAACATATCGGCCTATCTACAATTGCAAGCTGAAAACAGATTATGGTGCAATTATGCTTTAAAACCAAATTAGGGTAGCCTAAACTTATCAACATGTTGTAATTGTGCTCTAGAAGTAAATGGAGATTTGATTTTAATCAAAATTATATAAAAGTAAGTTGCATGCTTGAGTTGAGCTAACCTAAGCTCAATTGTATACAAAATGCACTGTTTGAAATAAAAGGAAAGCAAGTGGTGTTATGCAAATTGTGCAATTTGAACTTTTAATTCTCCCTTTCAATTCATACAGTGCATTTTCATTTAAATAAGCTAGGGTTAGTTATGGAGTCCACTTTTATACTATTTGAATCAAAATTCTAACCATAATTTTTTTTTTTTTTTTTATGTAGTTGCTATAAATTAATAAGTTCAGGATGCCCTGATTTACTTTTAGAGCACAATTTTTACCCTAATTTGCCTTTTATGGTGTAATTGCAAATAGGTAGCTAAGTTCAAAGTGCCCATGTTACAAAAATTGATTTATGGTGAAATTGATGGTTTGGCCAAACTTAAATGAAATAGTGACATTTGAGCTTGACTCATGATCTCTAATAGGAGTGTTCATCAAACCGCCCAAATCAATCTAAATTAATCCAAATTGATCTAAACTGTGGTTTTATGTAGTTGGTGGTTTGGTTCAATTTATAAAGTTTAAAAACCAAGCTTTTGGCTTGTAATTATGGTTTTTGGGTTAAAAACGTCCAAACCAAACCATATTGTTATTATAATATATATTATGTCTGAACTTTTAAATGATAAATGATTTAATTTAATTTTTCAATAAAAATTTCCTTTGCATTGCTTAGTTTATACTGTGTAGTAGTTAAAGCATACTTTTGAATTAATTAGGTAAATTATATAATTATTTTATGAAAATTTAAAATATTAAAAATTTGTGGAAAATAATATGTACAAATTATACATTGGTGAAACCGTAGTTTTTTTTATAACTTTTTTAGTAATATATGTAGACTAAATCAACATTTAAATTTTATATCAATAAATTGCTTAACTAACATCTTATTTAATATATAATTTTTTTTGGATCATATACAAAATGAATTAAAAAAAAAAACCTTGAACAACTACTTAAAATCATGTGTGAATCATTTTCATTTATCCACTTTCCATGTTTGATATAGTATTGGCTCTATTTTTTTTTTTTTTTTTTTTTTTTTTTTTTTTTTTTTTTTTTTTTTTTTGGACTCATACTACGCACAATGAACTTACAAACAAAACAACCTTGGACACAACTACCTTAAACATCATGTGTGACATCATTTTCATTTAATACTTTCCATGTTTGACTACTAGTAACTTGGCTCTAAATTCTTTTTTTTTTTTTTTTTTTTTTTTTTTTTTTTTTTTTTTTTTTTTTTTTTTTTTTTTAGCATTGTTGGAGGGAGTTTTTGAACCTGGATCTAGTCATATATGCGCTTATTACTAGGCTATGTCTTAATATGCTATTGGCTCTTTTTTACACTTGTTAACTAAATGAATTTCTATTCTTTCAAACCGCGGTAAAAGTTTTGATTTGATTTTATTTTATTTTTTCCAAACTGCCACTTCAGGTTTGGTTCAGTTATTACTTCAAATTGATCCATGAGTACCCCTAATCTCTAATATCTTATATTTACCTTGGATACTTGGCATTTGTATGTCCTTCATTTTGGATTCTTCTCAATCACCAGTTTGAAGCCGATCTCCAATCAAATGAATAATTAATCATGTATTCCTCATCCCAGGTAGTTTTTGACTATGATGACCAAATGAAGGTTCCTTTCCTTAGGGATTACATAAAAGCGATAGCAGAGCAGACTAAGAGTGTGAGGTATGCACACTTCGTTGCAGGTTGGTTTCCAGTAAATTGTCTAACTTGTATTTATCCTAAATTTCCAATTTTCTTTTCTTTTCTTGGTCTCTTTTTATGATAGGACTGAAGTACATGGTGAAGCGGGAAACCAAGATATGTACGTTCCAGGAGTTCTACCAAAACTTCCAGGAAGATTATATTATTATTTTGGGAAACCAATCGAAACCGAAGGTATGGAGAAAATACACTATATATAAAAATCAGCAAGTGAAAACATAAGCAACAATCATCTATTTGGCCAAAAAAAAAAAAAATATACCTTGAATGTGTGCAATGTTAATTCTCATGACATAATGAGCCAAATCACTTTGAGAATTTAAAAAATAGAGCATATATGTTAGTTTTAACCCAATCTTTTAATTTTGTCGATTATATTTCAACTGTATATGAAGTGTTTGTATCAGTTAAAGTCATTTCTTCCGGTGGTATTATTTGGACATTTGCCTGTCTTATGTGGACATGGTGCAGCATGCTGACATTACCTACAATTCTAAGATAACACGCTTCAAAAATAAGCATGTCATGTCGACATGTTTCACATGATCATTTCTAATATTAAATGCTAATTTTCTTCCTTCAGTAAACTGTTTTGATAATAGTTGAAGCTGCATGTGTATCAGGGACTTATGGCACATATTAAAATACTACACTGTCCTTGTAGGGTTGGTACACGCCCTAGTTAGGTAACACAAGAAATGAATAAAATTTATAACATTCAAAAATTCATGAGGTCAAAATTGACACCTGTGCTAAAGTTCCGGACTTTTTTAAACAATAGGCCTAACAAATGTTCTGAAGGAATTATTAATCATGTTATGCAGGAAGGAGGACGGAATTGAAAGACAGAGAGAAAGCTCAAGAATTGTACTTACAAGTGAAGACTGAAGTGGAGAAATGCCTTACTTTAATGAAGGAGAAAAGAAAAAGTGATCCTTACAGGAATATACTTACTCGTATGGTTTACCAGGCTAATCATGGATATTCTTCTGAGATTCCAACGTTTGAGTTTTGACTGTTCTGCACAATGAAGGTTTTGATTATTTTCTGTAATTCTCAAATAATTAAGCTTTGGAAGAAGAAAAAGAAGACTGCCCTTCACTTCAAGGCAGCCCATAGCAAAAAATTGTGATTCTTGTGAATAGTGATTTTCTATTTGCTCATTTCGCATCGAGAAACACAGTAGACTGACTGGAGATTAAGAAAAGTTGATCATTAGGAATATGTAATATTTATATTTCTGTAAATGTAACATTTTATTATGTATCAATCAATATCAAATGGCCTGTACTGTGTGGCTAGATTTATTCACGCCACTACAAAATTCATTTGATTACTCTGTCCTGTAATTTGTATCGCACATGGGAAAGTGATATCCAATGAAGTATCATTTGTTCTTTTCTTTTCTAGAGCTTATTGTGTCATAGGAAATTGAATGACAAGAAACAGAAGTTTCTGCTTGCGTGTAGAAATCGTGAGAAAGAGTGTTCATCGATTAAGTAAGGTTATATTTTTATTTTTGTCGGACTTACTTATTTTTTATAGCATTTTTTTGGTTCAATTATCTGTTTGTTGTAACTTATATTTTACCAAAATTAACTAATTCGATTTAGTATTTTCTATTATTTTTTTTTGTGTACTTTTTAATGGAAAAATGACAAAAAATTAACAGTGCAATGGAGACAGAATATACAAATAAAATAAAATAATATAACGATAAAATCAAAACTTTTCCCAATTTATTTGCCCATCAGCGTGGCTTTCATTGCCAAAGCAATGGTTCTAGCTCACTACTGCGGATATCTCTTAAGCAGAGAATACCTGAAGGTCATTTTTCAGCTATAATGGCCAGAAAAAGCTATTCTAAAGCTTCCTAAAAGAGTTTTTTTATTGCTAAACATATGTTGTTACGTATTGAACAATCTCAGCTATTCTAAAGATTCCATCAACTGCATTTTAAAACTTTTTGCTCCGAGCTGCTAGCTGATTTGTACAAGTACTTTTCAATTTTTTTTTTTTAATATTTTAAGGTCATCTTTAACTACATGTTAATAGCCTTTTCGGCAAATTTACCTGTTAACTGTCTTAGTAGCTATCGATGTTTAATTATTATTTCATCTAATATTAAAAGGGAGTAACATTTCATAATTATTCTATCAAACTTTAAAATTTAGTAAAAACACTACCATTTATATCGAACATTATAAATAATAAAAACAGTGTCTTGATTTAGTGAAAACATTAAAAGTTTTATCTTTGTTTTTATTTTTTTGACTTTTGGACTTTATTAATATAAACCTAAAAAACTAACATATTTAAGCTTGCAATAGGCATTTTCTAATTGCAGACTAACTAATTTCCCTTTAGAATAACATCTTTGACGATACAAGAAGCATCATAAACACAACTTTCAACCTAAGCTCGCCTACCTCACGAAGAGCATATGCGAGTCCAACTTTACTTCCTCCTGTAATAGGTGTCCTAGAATATATATATATATATATATCACGACAAAGCAAATTAATAAACCTGATTGTCTTAAAACAATAATACTAAGGCATAGTCTAATGATAAATGCATATACTATCTGACAATAAATTGATATTCAAATCCTCCTTTCCCCCATGCTTTAAAAGAAAAAAAACAATACAACAATGAAACAAACATGTGGAGTTGGAACACCCATATCATTATTACTCATATGTGGTGTCTGTATAAAAACTGCCGTTTGAGAAATTTCTTTCATTTAAATAACCAGTATTAATAAACAGAATATAATCCTTGCAATACAAGATAATGCAAGTTGACTAACTAAACTTAAAATAAAGAAGACAAAAATGAATGATACTTTTATTCCAAATTTAACACTTTATTTGAGTCACAGCACAAGCTTGTCAAAAACAATGTACGTGGTTTCAACTTTCTCCTCCCAAGTCAAAAATGTTTAACTGATAAAGAAAAGAGAACTTCTTCACAAATAAACCTCGTCTTGAGTTATATTTATCTACACTCGACGTGTGAAACTAGCCGGTTAAAAAATAGTTTTTTAAATAAATTGTTACTGTTTTAATTTTTTTTCTCTTAATATATAGTTAAAAATATCCTTATTTAGATTAAAATACTATCCGTGATTGATTTAATATATAAGTGATCTCATAGACAGGTATAGAATAAGTCTTTCCTTAATTAACTACGTCATTTACTCCAAGCATTTAAGCAAACCACCAATTTACCTTTGGATGCAGATGGTGACTGAATGGAATGGACCCTTTAAAATTTTCATTCAGGCGAACTGCCTCTCAAGTTACATCTATATATAAACAAACCATTCTATAGCAGTTGGAATACTACTTTGATTTGGTTATATCATCAAAGTTTGCTACTTAGGCCTGCCTGTCTGCAACAAGGAGCTCCAAACCTCCAAAAAGAGAGGACAAACTATCAACCGCCCTCTATAACAGACAAATTACACCTGCGTAATATGGTATCGAAACCCGCTAGGCTGGCTGCCACGAAACCATCGACTAAGGAGGCCCTCCCGCCCAACCACTAGCGTCATGTTCGGCCTTATTTGAGTTATTGATCTTTCTCTCGCGAAATGCATAAATTCACTTTTAAACTTTATAATTTTAATTACATCATATTTTAAATTTGATGGATGGCATATTTAAACACTTGAATTAATAAATTTTGATAATATTACATGCTTTTTAGAAAAAAAAATTATTTTAAAAATTTTTGGCTTTTATAGGAAAATATTAATTTGATATGTTATTATAATATTAATTTTTGCATTTTTCGACTAGTTAATATGTGTTTAATTAATCTGATTTTGTAAGTTCAAATATTTAATAAAATAATTTTACAAATTGAAGTTTTATAATATTATAAATTTAATCACATTTTAATTAGGAATTTTTCCTATCATCTTACTATATATATATTTCGTTTTAATTGCTTTTGACTATCAAGAGCTTGTTGCTTTTGATTATTAAGAGTTTGTTGCTTCAAGCTTTTGCTAATTTGAGATTATTGAGTTTGCAATCATGTCTTCTTCTTGCAGTTAGTATAACATTAACTCTCTCTCTCCATTTACAAATTAATAGAATAGTTTTTACTTATAGTTCTTATAATTTAGATCTATAGGTTTATAGATTAACTGTAATAGTTTAGTAATCATGAATAATTATAAGCTTTCACTCTTGAACAGCATCATCATAAAATATCTTAAAGAGATGGACACTCTAATTAGAAAAATTGTATTTATTTATCCATTAAAATTATATATTAATTTTTAATTAGATTGATTATATTATTTTCCTTAATCATATTTTTTTTTATTAATCAACAAATCTTGTTTCATTATTTTTCTGTTGCTAAGAGTTAACAAAGAGTTCTACACACGTGTTTGCAACGTAATTATTTTAAGTTTCTAAATTATAAAAGTTGGTTCTACAATCAGTTTAGCAACGGAATTTTTATCCGTTGCTAAAATTGTAACCAAAATACAGAACCTATGTTCACTGCACACCTTTATCCGCATATCTTTTGACATGCTTGCACTTTCTTTTCTCTTTTCTTCCTCCCTTTTATTTTATGTTTTATTAATAAAAATTTAAATTTTTATTTGGATTTTAAGATTAATATTTGTTATGATAATATTTTTTTTTTTTTTTTGTTGATTGTCACCAAACATACACGGAACCTCTGTTACACTGCACACCTTTAACCCCGCATCATCCTTTTGACATGCTTGCCACTTTCTTTTCTTCTTTTCTCTTCCCCCCTGTTATTTCTATCTCTATTATTAATAAAAAATTAAAATTTTTATTTTGGATTTAGATTAATGATGTTGTTAATGATACATCATTGTTTTTCCTGTTTTTTTTTCCTGTTCCAATACTCATTGACTGGACAAGTAAGAAATAGCACCTATGAAGATTTTTAATATTCCAAATATAGGCGATCATTTTTTTTTTTTTTTTGTTCCAAGTACTTTGATGGAAGTAAGATAGCTATGAAAATTTTAATATTCAAATTATAATATAATAAGTCATAATTATTTTGCATGTATAGGAATTTCAAATTATATAAGTGCGAATGAGGGGGAATATTGGGTTCCAAATGCCCCTATAGAATTTTAATTTTATTGATTGATTGAAGAATAATTTAGTCTTATTCTATTTAGAAAACTCTTAATTTTATTAGTTGATTAACTAAAAATATCATTAAAAATTATTTAGTCCTATTCTAATTCAAAAACTTTTGAAATTCCTATACATATAAAATACTATGATTTAATATCTTATAATTTAAACATATTATAACATAAAATAATAAATTTATTAATCCTTTATTAGTAGCTCTTTTTTATTAATGTTATAAATTTAATCTCATTATAATTAGGAATTTGACTTTAATTCTATTCTAATTATGATAATTCATTATATTAATATTATAAATTTAATCTCACTCCAATTAGAAAATTTTCCTTTATTATTATTGTAATTAGGATTTTGTATTATCATATCACTATATATATGTTTGGTTTTAATTGCTTTTGAGTTTTGACTATCAAGAATTTTTACTCTTAACTACCATGAATTTATTGCTTTTGACTATCAAGAATTATTTTATCAAATTTTGCTAATTTAGAATTATTGAGTCTGCAATCATGTCTTCTTCTTGCGGTAAATATAATCTTAACTTTCTTTTTTTACAAATTAATAGAATAATTTTTATTTATATTTATTAAGTATAAGAAGAATTTATTTATAATTTACTTAAGTATGTTCTATACAACTATAGGAAGTTTTAATTTAATTCTAAATAGAAATTATTAAATGATTTTATATTTTATTTGATTAAGAAAATAAATCTAATTCAAGTTATAAAGAATTTTAATTTTTTCTATTTAAATATTAAATTCTATTGAATAAAATAATAAAATAAATTATATATTATATAAGATATATATGGTAAGAATATAAAATATTAAGAACTTTATTTATTGATATATTATAAAATATATAGGGTAAGAATATAAAATATTAAGCACTTTAATTTTAATTGGTTGAAAAATAAAGCTATTTTATTATAAGGATATAAATTTCTATTTAAATAAATAAAATTCTATTGGAGTAAAATTATATATTATATAAGATATGATATATATGGTAAGAACATAAAACTTTAAGAATTTTAATTTTATTGGTTGAAAAAATAATGATAACTTACTTTTGAACAAATAAATTCATTAATTTGAAAAAAAATAGGAATAAACATCATTGACTTTGCGAATATAGTTTGTATTAGTTAATTGAAATTGTATTCTCTTGACAATTAATACATGCAAATTGTTAGTTAATTTACTTTAGCAACGGAAAAAAATTCTTTGCTTTTCTGTATA